TGCATAGGTTCATTATTAATAATTTGTTCTGCACATTATTTGACAGAATAAATTACCGCGTTTGTGTATGTATAATAAAAACCATATTTATCGCTTATATATTTTCGATATTATTTTATTCAGTTATAAATTCGATAAAAGAAATACAGTAATCTGTTTCTTTTTACGATAGACGGGTTAGTTTTAGTGTATTTTATCAAGAGTTACAGTGTAGCCGTCGCTGCAATCTTAGTATACAGTAAGTAATTAACACACGACTGCAATTAGCTCTTTGTGTACGGCCGCCTATAATCAAAGACTGATTGATTGCATCATGTATCACAACCATTTTAGACCGCGGCTAAACGTGCCCATGGCTTTTTAGAGTAAATAATAATCAACAACACGTATAAAAAGGATATAACAAATATGAACAAAAATAATGTGTACACTTTCCGTGATCTGTAAAGTGTACAGTGTTGAATCCAGCTATTGAGACAAGAACCGCAATGTACCATGGGTTCACTGCCACTATCATGTGTCGTACTTTGAGGTTATTACGATAGCGGTAGTGTCGACGGACGCGCAGCATACACATGAGTGCATACTTTCAGTGGCAGCGGCGCCGGGGGGGACTCGAAAAATGTTGAGGGTGCCCCCCCCCCATAGCATAATTCAAGCTGAAAACTTTTGTGTTATGTTATACATATTATGTATGTCAAAATGTGTCCCTCAAAATGCAGGAAATAGCGTTTCAGAGGATCTAGATTTCAACTTTTTCCGTGCGAGCCTGAAACCCCCTTTTAAGGGGGCTCCATGATATTATGATAATAGTAAATAATGCTCTAGTCCATTTGAATGTCCTCGTAAAATCCACTGATCAATCGTTAAATTTGTAAGAATTTAGGTCGGAGTCACATGTAACCTTATAGTTTTTATGACACTGGAATTGATTAAAAGTAATGTTCCACGTGCACCCGCAATTGAAAAAAATAGATATTATTAAGAAAATTGGCTGTGCTTTGAAGTTCACTCTCAATTATTCTGTGCATCGCAAACAGTATATCTATTCATTGTTCAATGCGCCCTCAAGACTAGGGTATTTTCACTAATTTGACTACAGGTCAAAGCGATATCGACAACTCTCTAACGGCCTTACTGTCGTTTATTTAGTCATTGGTTTATAGAAAAGGTGCCTTACCAGTCTACACTGGAGATACGGTCAAGCGATTGCCCCCAGTCATGCACTCATATTTAGCAAATAACCTATTAAACATGACAGGGGAAACAAGTGCCTGATGTTTTGGGGAATTTTAAAAAGTTCAAGGTCTCCTTGGCCAAGACGGACGCTTCTAGTTGTGCCACAAGCATTGCAATTCATTTCCAGGCTTAAAGGTAGTTAGAATGTATACTGATGAAGTGAAATCATAAGTTTCCTGGAGCTGCGAAAGACGTTATAAGCGGGCATGTACGTGTAGTTTCTTTGTTTATTCCAATATTTACTGAGACACGCATACTTAGAAAAAATCTGTCTCAGTATCTTTACCTTTCTTTTAGTACCGGTTTGATCTTAGATATCTATTTATATATACTGTAAACACAAAACACTAACAGAATCAAACACAAGGTTGTCATACATTAACATCATCCACGATTCACTGACGCTGTGAGTTGCGCAAACGTAGAATAAATGCTAACTCGCAGCAAGTTCGATAAAAAAAATAGTGAAAGCAATATTTTAGATATTATAAATGCATTTTCTGCGATGTGACAGTTATTGTGACAATTAATCACTGAGGTGCAGTTGACCGCTCGTCTAAAGTAGATGGTGAATAAAATATGTCTGACTGACGATCTGTTATTTCATTTATGGTTGATTTATTTTAACAATTATGATTTTTATCATTTTTATGGTTGATTTGACAATACAGTTATGGTTGTTATTACATTTATGGTTGATTTGACAATACACTTATTGTTATTTTCAAGAGGTTCCAAAAAAGTATTGTCACCCCCTTGTGCGGGTTCTGGTTACCGCATACAACAGCGCTTTAGTAAATTCAAGGGTGGCTCACAATCTACAAATGATTGAGTTTTACGAAGGACACTCATATGAACATTTCTTATGGACACAAATACGAAATGTACGCATATGTAAAAATCATCCAAACTTTAAACAAACTATTTGATAACTAAGCTGGTAGACAACGTAATGTAAACATAGACTAAAATAAAAATAAAAATAATGGTATGCTAAATTCTAAATAATTCTCTCAAAATAATACAGCTCGTTACAGCGAAACCCCTATTCGGAACTAAGATATCTGGTGGAGTATGTGAGTGAGTGTTCTTCAACGATTCACTGGCGCGATTCACATGGCCTGTGCATGTACTGCCATGGACTGGCGAGCTTGGATCTCCGCGACGTTTCACTCTATAAAGGCACATGGAATAACAGCCACGTGTAGTATCACTAGATGCATTTCGTATTTAAATACAGTTTTATGGTTGAAGTGTTACTAAATTTATGGGCACTACTCTTCCATATCCTTGGCTAAATTCACATAATATACTGGATATTATCTGGAAACTGAGAGTCTTTCAATTATTATTTTAAAAATAGAATATATACCACAGACAACCTAAAGTTACGGAATACGATGTAATAGGTACGCCGTACATTATTCGGGCACCGAGAATGATACAGTTATGTTTTTTAAATATAATATTATAGGGTACAGCATACTCCTCCTCCAAATGGCCATGAAAGCTATCATTAGGGGGAGGGGCCAATAAAACCATCTGAACGTAATCATAATTGTGCCAACTGTATTATGTTTGATATCAATGGAAGGGTTTCCAAACAAGCTATTCATTCACTGAGATAGCAATTAGTAAAGTTGAAGTATGACGTCATATGAAAATGAAAAAGACTTATTATTAAACAACCAATCATCCCAATTGGTGTGAGAGAAAACAAGCTGAACTAAGTCGCAATGTAGGAACATATAGAATTATGAATATGTCAGCCAATGTCTCAAATGTTCTATGTGCAATGTGTGAAATTATGTGCAATCGTTCGTAGTTTTTCATATATAGGAAACGAACACATCTAGCTAATGCCTCACACCGTCAGCTGAAGAAACAATACAGCCGAAATTAAAAACGTTTTCCACCATTGTGGTTTCGACGGCATGTAGTTAAATCATTAATGGTATAGATCATCTGAATGTCATCGTGAAATCCGCTGATCAATGTTTTTCGTTGAAGGTGAAGTCAAGCTAAACAACATAATGCTCCCTAAAGAAAGAGCTCCACAAATTTAGAAGAAATAAATAAGAAAAGAAATGAAATGAAGAAAAAAAGTAATGGAAATTAGATATTATTAACTATTTTAGTCGTTAAAATAGAATGACACGTTTTTGTCACTTGTAGTGGTCAACAGGTTATATATCACCTATATAACCTACTCACATCGATAAATTGTACACAATATAAGGAATTTTGAGCATTTGGTAGAAAAAAAAGGAATATTTTTAGTTGCTTGACAACTATTTTATATGCAATATGCTACCATTTTCTAAACTTTCAGCCAATTTGAAGTTAAAGATGAAATCATTTTCCCAATTTCTGACAACAGTGGATATGATCTCATAGTTTACCCATAATCCTTTGCTGAAGAATCAAGATGGTGGAGTATATACATTAATGAAAAGTTGAATATCAAGAGAATGAAAAGTGATATACAAAAAACTGTAAATTGTATGTTCTTACATTTGCCGAGCTCTTTCATCTGGGAGTATTATGTTGTTAGCCTTAACTTTTCATTTAATTAAATTTGTAAGTTAAAGAGAATTCAGGTCGTAGTAATATGTAACCTTATAGTTTTTATGACACCGGAATCGATTAAAAGTAATGTTGCATCCGTAATTAAAAAAAAAGAGATATTCATGAAATTGGTCGTTGCTTTGAATGTCACTCGAAATTCCGGCCTAAATATGTGAAATACCTGTCTATATTCGGACGCGCCTTCCCCAGCAGCCTTGCATACGTGTATGCATAAATATGGAAATCAGATGTGATGTACTAGTTATCATCATTGCTGGATACTTACAAACCGGCTTATCTAATCGACCATAAAATGTATATCTATAAAAGTACCAGACCATAAAATAGCGAACTATGAGAGCAAACCACGTACAGATCGTGGTTTATTGGGTATGCGCACACAAAAACAAAAACGCAGTGTATTTCAACGACCAGGTGGTTACATAGTATAGCCAACTGTGAAAGCAAACCGCGTACAGATCGTGGTTTATTGGGTATGCGCACACAAAAACAAAAACGCAGTGTATTTCAACGACCAGGTGGTTACATAGTATAGCGAACAGTGAAGGCAAACCACGTACAGATCGTGGTTTATTGGGTATGCACACACACAAACAAAAACGCAGTGTATTTCAACGACCAGGTGGTTACATAGTATAGCGAACAGTGAAGGCAAACCACGTACAGATCGTGGTTTATTGGGTATGCGCACACACAAACAAAAACGCAGTGTTGTTCAACGAGGTTATGGTTACATATTATAACCACTGCGACTATAGATGTTTGTATACACATAGGACGGTTAATTAGTGACACGAATAACTAGAAATAGCCATTTATATGTCTAGTTTTTATGCTTGCACAACTTCAATATGTGGGTATATTACGTCACTTTCTCGTGGGTCTATTTTATGCAGCGTTACAGTGACGAAATATTTTCAAAAAACGCATGCGCAGCATAACTAAATTAGTGTCCGAATACATTCAGCATGAAATTAAAGGTCGATGTTTGTCACATCGTGTCGTCGATATGAACCCATATGACGTATACAACGCGTGCAAAATACTTTGCTTGTTAACAAGAAATCCGATCACGATTATTAAGAAGACACCAAATTTGTATTCGCTGGAGAAGCTAGTCGCTCTTATTCTTGACGCAATTATAGACTACGTCATTGTTTCTCTACTCTTACCATTACTGACGTGAAGGAGTATGTCTTCTATTATGCCGTAGGGAGACATGCTGTTGCTTTGGTTACAGTGCTATTGGGCCCGTCGTCAAATTGAAATAGCTAAACTAGCCGAAATTGGTTTTCTTCAATAAAATATGTAATAGTTGTGGTTTATGACTTTCTGGAATCGTATTTTAATATCAATGAATTGCATCTCGTTCCACTAATGGTAACTTTCATAATCATTAAGAAATCATTGCCACTCGTTAAAATGTGATGGTCGGGATTATGCAACATATGTTTTATCATGTTTCTTATGCAGGTGTAATTTCACAGTCACGAGGTCTTATAGCCTGAGCATTACATTTTCTTATCTCGGTCTCGACCCCCCCCCCCCTATTCTTACAGGTTCTAGATTCCAACAGGCGGTGTATTCGGGCCTCACACCAACAAATATTTTTTCATAGAAGCCAATATTAATATCAGTTTTGAATTCAACGACAATGAACCACGTTGCAATGTATTGTAATTTGTCGAAAAGTGAATTGACAGTACGTACCTCTAATTCGAATCAACAATACGTATCAAAAAACTGATATATCAAATATTCGAATTAACAGTACGTACCACTCATTCGAATAAACATGATGAACTATTCAAATTAATAGTACATTCGAAATGGCAGTATGTACTATAAATTCAAATTGACTGTTCGTACCACTAATTCGAGTTGAAAGTTATTTGAGGTAGTACGTACAGCTAATTCGAATTGGTCGTTCGTACCACTGATTCGAATTGGCAGTACGTACCACTAATTTGAATTAACAAAAACACCACTAATTCTAATTGATAGTAGTAGTATATTGATAATTTTAATGTATTATTAAATATACTTGACGGTACGTATCACTAATTCGAATTGGCCGTTCGTACTATTCATTCGAATTGACAGTACGTACCACTAATTCGAATTAATTCCGATATCAACATACACATATCAATCATAATATATACATCTTCTCTTCAAATCCCTCGGCAACATCACCATCGTGCACAGTATGTCTACATCTATCAATATTCTACGTTGTTCCTGACAGGAAATAAATGAGTATGCACGTGTGTGAAAATAAAAAGGTTTAATTGAGCCACGAGTACTCATAATTTTATTACAGATTCTAATCGTAAATCTGACCCCAACCGAGATGCCGATAATACATTCTACGACGCTTCTTATTGAATCTAAAACTCTCCATTGGTTCAACAATGTGTCGACTGGGAGGTCATTTTGCTGAACATTCCCACGAGACAAGAACATTGTGTTTAAATTTTTTTTCATTTCATTTTAATTCTAGAGAACGTAACATTACGAATAAGTTAATTGTTTGTTCATGTGTCGTCAAAGGCAACGAAATTCAACCCAGCGCGTCGAGAAGGAAATTATATTCCGTTTAGAACTATAGAAAATTACCAAAACGTTCTCTTTGGTAACCATTTAGTGTGTGTATACATGTTATATTGTAGAATCGTTTAGTGTTATGCTTTTTCTTACATTGTATGTTCTGTTTACACTTAATGCGGGGGGGGGGGCTCGTCACCTGCGAATACGTCAGATGGCCATAGCTTGTCATTGTTTACAAACAAGCCTCTTCCCGTGAGCTTTTGCGTTTTTGGCGTGTGTTGTTATAGTCGATGGAACTCATTTCACGCGCGTGCGCAGGAGACGACCCTCCCGCTTTAATGTTCATATGGTACCAAAGAAGAGCCACGGCCTGAAATGTTCAGCTATTTTGAATAGTTACTCAGGACTTATCAAATATCGTCTACTATATATTATGGTTTTAGGGAGATTTTAGCTTGTAGCCTTTTACTACTGAGTGATTAAAACAGGATCAGTTACATCCTTTTTCTATGACGTTCGTTTGACGTAAAAACAAATTCCCGGAAGTATTATATAACCTGTGACGGAAAAGGTGCCGCTGACTGCAGCCATAGAAAGAGAAATACTAAAAAGGAGATGATCATTTCAATTTACGATATTTGAGCTAGATTACGAAGCTTCTTTCAATGTTCTCTGGTGAACAAAATTAAGACTACGTAAGCGTCTGTGATAGCTATACCAATGTCAGATGACTCGGCGAGTGTATCATCGGATAGGTACATGCTATGTATCAATTTAGTAGTCATTGCACATTACATAATACATCTTTCTACAATAATCAATACTGTATAGATAAAAGTCAGTGTATCGATTTCCCTGACAATTTATTGTCAAATTGTTTATGGTCCTTGAAAGAACGGTAACAGAATACCGCAGTCAGTGTATAATGGACCCTTGTGTATTTGATAGTGTAGTAACCATATTTCAATTGCAATGTAGTCAATAGGTGAAACTGACAGCAATCAACATAGCTTGTCCAATGGTTGACACCCATTTTTTTGATTTCTACTGGTACATTAATAAAAATACAGGGACTACTAAAACAAGGTCACAAAACGGTATTTATATCATTGACTACCAGAAAGAAAAATCACTCTCTAAATTAACATTCTCCTGTAAGATTGCTATTTTAAATGTACTTCCGGTTATTCAGAACAAATATTATTAGGAGTTGGTTTTTATAACTGACCGAAAGAAATGAGTTTCGTTCAACATTAAATATCACGTCTGAACCCAATCTAGGTCTGATCGAATGACCCCGACATTGATCAACATAGCTTGTCCAATGGTTGACACCCATTTTCTTATTTCTACTGGTACATGAATAAAAATACCGGGATTACTAAATAGCGTCACAAAACGGTGTCAAATGAAACTGACTACCAGAAAGAAAAATCACTTTCCGGATCAAGATTCTCTAGTAAGTTTGCTCACTTATACGTATTTTCGGTTATTCTTAACAAATATTATTAGGAGTTGGTTGTTGTTACTGACCGAAAAAAAAATGTGTTTCGTTCAACATAAAATATCATGTCTACAACCACAGTCTACTAGAGAGATATCTCTGTGGTACTGTTTGATATAGCACTTATCATTTACAGTCGTTTTCTCATTATCGTGGTGAAGGCTGTGTTTGCACTGAACTATTGCAGAGGTGGTCGATATTGCCAAAGACGTATAACCATATCAAGCATAATTATCTTTATATAAAATCTTGCAAGATATATCTTGATTACTTTGGGTGTTTAGGATTTAATATTTCACAAGATCCTGTTACATTGTGACATAACACACATGTAAATGAGTAAATTCTCATTCGCCATTTTGCTCACATCGAATTGATGCTTTTCTAATGGCATTGGTTAAATTTCCAAATCAACGCCGTTTCTTCTGAAAATAACGCATTTATTGTCGGGGAATTCATACAGGGTTACTGTATGTATTTAGTAGTAGTTTGACAGATATCTGCATACTCAGTATAAACGTAGTTTTTGATTTTCCTTATGTGTCATAACATTTATCATATGCGAATCTCAACATGCTGTGTTTGTTACTCAGGATAATGGAGACAGTAATAAAAAAAGGATTGTTATCCACACCAAAATATGTACCTAATTGGTATTTATATGACACACATGGGTCAAGTCTGTTTGCCAAGCTTGCCGTGGAAAGTCCTTACTACCATCTTTATAGAACGGAAAAAAGTATTCTAGAACAAAACGCGGGTAAGTTGGTATATCATTGAGGAACAGTGGAAGTCCCGATGCCGTTTATTCCGTGACTGCGTTTATTTGTTGGCATTATGCACTGTATTATACAGGTAAAAAAGAGTAGCGTATTGATGATAGTAGAGATAAACTGTTATCACACAGTCTGATAGCAAGCCACAATTTGACTCTAGACACAGATCTAAGTTTGAAACAGATTCTGTCGTCTCATTAGTCTCCAGGTAATTATAGAATAATTGGTCTATAATTACTAAACTTCGCTATAAAGTACAAAACATTTATATATTGAATGTGAAATTAAACTTTTTGGCTTCTTTGTATATTTTTTTAAATTAATTTCTGTTGAAATTCAGTGTCATACGAATAAAAAAAGAAATCGGCCACGAGGGCGAACAATTAGTTATTATTGGAATTGAATTCCTATGGTAGAATCTCCTTGGCAGCAGTTTAGTTTTAACATTGTAGTAATGTGAAATATAATTCTGAATGAATCAAAGCTCGAGTTACGTTTAATTAGTTATGTATCTTAGCCCATGTGCGTGAAAGACACAAGTAATATCGATTACGGTAAATCACGACTTGATGGTACGTACCCCATTACAGCGTGCATTCTCGTGTGAAAGTCAATGGTACCTCTTCGTACCCTGCAGTGCATTTGAAATAGAAATTCTCGCAAATACTGGTAAATTTATTAAGTTTCACCTAATGCCGGTGTCTGTAATGAAAGAAGATCTGGATAATCCATTGCAAATTTAGCCTATTATGTACATGGCAGTATATGAATTATAGTATAGTAATATTTGGTAATCGCTGTCCTACGTAACGAATTGGTAATTGATAACAGTCATAAATGTAAGTGCTAGAAAATCACTAAAATCGATTTGTAAATAAGATATGTATGTAAGACAACAAACCAAGCTGACTGACGAGACCTAAGCACTTTGCCTTATTCTGATATTGGCAAAATACAAGTATGTAAAAGGTAAAACAAAATAGAAGCGTTAATTGTTTTATTCGTCGGTATTCCTTGCTGTTAAGCATTCACGATAGGCGGTTTTATGGAACTCAGGTGCGCTGAGCAAAAAACAATCAGTGACGTTCACAATTTTTGCGCGAAATAGACAACAATATGCACCTTCTGACAGTGACGACCTTCGTTCTCTTGCTGTCGAAAGCACCAATAAAGCAATGTGTGACGTCAATTAGTTTGTATCATTTGGCGGGGGTACGTAGAAAGTGGTTGAGTGTAACCCCGAACACAGCTTACATAGATTTGATGTATATTGCTAATTCAATGCGCCGGAAGTTCATCCGTCATCCATCATACGCCCATTCTGTGTAGGAACGCGATACATTAAACTCTCCAACTTTCACTATAAATAAATCCCCTTTCCCGTATAAAACGTTTAATCCTCTTGTTCAGACTTTTTTATAATGAACGCGTACTGTACGCGGCGCTTTAAAAGTTACGACGTTCCATTAGGCACTACGCTGCGTCCACTGGGGAAATCAATGCATGCGTTACCGTGACTGGTATTTTTTTAGACGAGACCCATCCCACGTAAAAAAAAACAATGTAAGGCCCGATGCAGTCCCAACTGTGTAATTATAAATGACATCCCTACGTGTAGCTTAATGGTTGCGTCAGTGACTGTAATGTTAAGTTAATTAATGCACTTGTCAAATTTGGATGTCAAAAATTAAGTGGTGTAAAATTGTAAAATCATAGAGGTAGCCGTACGTTACATGGTCACAGGAAGTTTCATGAATTTGTCGATATTGACCTTTAGCCACAACATCCATACGCCCACCCCAGCTGTAGTGAGTCTTTATGTTACTAACGGTGCAAGCCAACCGTAGACTTACTTTTCTCATCGGAAGACGAATAGATTTGCATTATAATTTTGACGCGATCCGATGCAGAAACGCTCACTCTAAAATAGCTACTCCCATATTTCAGGGGATGACGTCATGTAAAGATGCAATTTGTTAATTTTAAATTTTGCAGTAAACAAATGGGTCAACATTAATCATTATTTGTTTTCCTTGTTTCCCAAATGCGTTCGAGCATAGACTCTATACAATTTATTGTTCAAGGAAAATGTGGATGTTCACAGGAATGATCTGTAGCCAGTTCTTGACTAGTGGTGGTGCGTATTAATCGCTGGAAAATACAACTCGTTGATACAAATTGTACATATTTAAGAGTTTCTCGATAAACAAATTCACATCGAGGTAAATAATTTTTAAAACACCTACACTAATATTGACATTGAACACGAAAAAATAGATTCAAATCAGCGAACCAGTATTGGATTACTGCAATACCCTATAGGCGCACAATTTATGCGCATGCGCAAATGATCTATATTTTTTAGATACTATAAAATTGAATGTTTTGAAATTAGGTTTTATGTGGCAGGTGTACGGTTCATTATTAAAATTAAATTTAAAAAAAATACGTATTCTATGTTCCATACCACCCCAACTTACTGATTTGCAATTGGCACTATGCGCAAAACAAACAATCAATAAAAACAAACAAAGTAATTATACATCCTTATCGCGAGAGTTCAATAATAATTTGTATTTTCGGGGGAATACGACAAACCCGTCCTCTACAGCAATGTAACTACTTTGTGATATGTACTTCAATTTCATATATAATGAAATACCGTGTGTTGTCGCTTTCATTACAGATGAAATTGTATCTGATTTAGAAGATGTCGTTTTATGCGAACTCGGTGCTGGCAGCTCTACCAAGACAACAATTTTATTGTCGGCCTTGGTGAAAAGAAACACAACAGTGACATTTATTCCTATAGATCAGGCTAAAGGTATGAATAGTCGAATACTTTAATGTGGAATTTTAAAGAAGGCATCCGTATTGCTTCGAAAAAGTTGAACCTCATATAATGCTTGAGGTATATCAGTAATGTTTAACTTTCCGTCAGGTTGTATAAAGCGTAGTGTGGTTGCTACACATAATTTACTGTTTGTGGCTTAATTGACAAAATGTATACAAATACTTTATATACAATATTTTTAATTATCTTGCAGACTTTTTGGAAGACAGTGTCAAAATATTACTGCAGCGTTTCAACATTGGTTTAGTAGTGAAGCCATTCGCCGGGGATTATATTGATGGTTTAAAACATATAAAGGACATTCACCAGAATAAACTTATCATTTGGCTTGGAACTAGTATTAGTAATGTGCCAATGAAGGATTTGAAGTCAATCCTGGTACACATTAACAAAACAATGGGTACATGAAATGTCAAATTTATTGATAAATATTTATCGATAAATATATTTAAGTTATTTGGAATATAAAGCTGTGTACTAATCAATATTCAATATTATCATACTGTATAATATATCCCAGTAATCGGTTTGGTTTGAACGTTGAAATGGTGGATTTAGTTGGGTTGAATCGGGTTGGTGAATATCAATTTGAATATTGCTCGCAGTTTGGTACTCCTGGTCAAACTCACGCTAGAAACTAAATTGTGATTTAAAGGAAACATCAACCCAAACAACATAATGACCCCTGTAGAAAAAGCTCTACAAATGTAAGAGAATGCAATTTACATTTTTTTATATCACTTTTCATTCTCTAGATATTCAACTTTTCATCAGTATTATGTAGTCAGCCATCTTGATTTTCAAGCAAAGGATTATGGGTAAAGTATGACATCATAGAATCTGTTGTCAGAAATTGGGGAAATGATTTCATCTATAACTTCAAAAGTTTAACTTCAAATTGGCTGAAATTTTAGAGAGTGGAAGCATGCATGTACTGGGGCCATCCATGTTTATAAAATAGTTGTCATGGAAACAGAACTGAAAATATGTATTTTTATGTTTTTCTACCAAATTTTCAAATTTCCTTATATTGCATACAATTTACCAATGTGAGTAGGTTATACAGGTGATATATCACATGTTGACCACAAAAAGGGGACACAAAAGTGTCATTTTATATTTCACGACTAAAATATCGATTTTTATTTTTTAACGTTTTTAGCAATATCTTCACTTCATGTGTATTTGTAATATTCTAATTTCCACTACTATAATTATATACATGAGTAATATGCACAACAAAAATTTTAACTAATTCGCATCAGTATTTCTCATGTTATAGATGAAATAATTTTCTCAATTTTTGACAACAGATTCTATGATGTCATACTTTGCCCATAATCCTTTGCTTGCGAATCAAGATGGCTGACTACATAATAATGATATAAAGTTGAATATCTAGAGAATGAAAAGTGATATAAAAAAAACTGTAAATTGCATTCTCCTACATTTGTGGACCTTTTTCTTCAGGGGTCATTATGTTGCTTAGATTGATGTTTTCTTTAATAATACTAAAGTGCCATTTTTAACAATATTAGGATTTGTATCATTAATATTATATGACTTTGTTTCATTATATACCATCCAGCAACGTTTTGAAATATTAAGAAATTATTTCACAATCGAAACCAGTACAAGAAGGACAATTTTTACGATATTTCGGACACCTTGTTTCTCGAGTCCACTAAATCAGTGAAACCTAGTTAATAACATTTCTTGCCACTTTTATATCGATTAATTACAATGTGCAATATTAAATATGGCACGGTAAGTAAATCGTCAATATCTCTTGATAAGATTGTAAAGTTTACATAGCGCCATTACTGCATATATGTTAAATTTCCAACATTTGAACATTTCATGTTCTTCCCGCCATTCTGCTAATTGTAAACAACCCCTCCGCTGGTTTCCGCTATGTATACAACCAACTCGAATATGTTGTTAAATTAGCGTAAAATGGGTTACGAGGTCCGGCCTTATGTCAAAGCAAATGTTCTCCAACGTCAACAAATGTATCATTTTATATTACATCAGGGGGTAGTCTCGTTATATGTACCGTGCAATGCATGTTTGCTTAAAGTTGAATTCCTACAATTGTATGTTCTGTCGAAAACCTTACAATGACCCCTGTAATCACACTACGAACTCTGGAATCTGTAAAGTTCACGAGAAACCATGTCCAACTTGCATTCTAGAATTGAATTCAGAAGTACCTCTAAACAACATGTATTCAACATTGATAATGATGATTGATTCAGAGATTAAATACAGCTTCATTTTAGGATATGTTGCAAAACCAACTGATTATATAACTGTTCATGGTGATCACAATAATCGGTGGTATTCTCCATTTATTACGAAGTGGGGATGTCATTTATATGTTAACTCAAATACTCGGATGTTTTTTTTGGCCCGCATCCTACATATTACACAACCCCGGGAAAGAATATGTTTCTTGTTTTATCGTTTGTGTGCTTTAGCAATTGATTTGTTTTATTACAATGTAATTATGAGTGATTTCATTTAAAGGGGACAATGACAGATTATTGGTTGGTATTGACATCACGCAAGACAAAGAGGAAGTGGTCACCATGTACAGCCATGTTCAAACATGGGCACCATTCAACTTTAATGTCCTGACCAGATTGAATCGAGAATTCGGAGCGGATTTTAAACATGCAAACTTCGTTATGTACACAAATTATGTTGTTAGTGATGATAAGGATGGTATTGTCGAAAGCCCGCAGTATGTCCAACACGCTCTCAAAAGTACGTGTCAACATCACGTTCGTGTAGGTGAGTAACCGTCGAGCCCGGCCGTTGAGTAACAATCGATAACGTAATGTATACGTGCCAACAAACGAGAGTCATTTAACTATTTAAATATTCACTACATACATTGATAGATTTTTTAAATCTCCATTAGATTCGATTACAACTATTTTGTTATAGCTATTTAAGCAAATTACTTTTTATTTGGCGCAATACGTACTCATTTACTTGTAGTAAAGGACTGCTTGAACACAACTTCTGTTTCAATGATTAACGCAAGTTTACCCGATCGCACCACTCTCAGTATAATAAACTCACTTCTACATCCATAAGGTCAACAATTCTCAAAATGAGTTATAACACACTGCTCTCTTTGCAGATGATATGGATGAAATACTCCATTTTGAAGAGGGGGAGTTGTTTTATTGTAATGAGTTAGAGCATCTGAGTTTAAAATGGAACTGGAAACAGTTTGCAGACACAATGAAGAAAGGAGGATTACACATTGAAAAGACTTGGAGCGACAGTGGAAACAAGTTTGGGTTAGCTCGATTGAGAAAAATAAACTTATTTAATACTATTTAGAATTTCTGAATAGCGAAGCTAGAACGCCAGAAGTCATTAAATAAAATTTTGTAAAGTTAGTGTTTGGTAGATCGACCAGTGCAATATTGATCATATTTACCATTGTTGGAAATATATACTGTATTATTATTCATGTATGCAGCAATCTAGTTTAGGGTATATAGCAATTTCACAAATTATCCGTTCTACCTCAGCGGAAATAATGACATGTATTATGTACAGCCACATGAATTTGAAATATAACGCCTTGGACCGTAACTACTAAAGGTGAAATAAACGTCCGTCATTATGGCGCGAGTAGATTGTACCAAATGTTTGACTAGTTACTGCATACTTTGGGGGGGGCAACAATAGGGCCAACCCTATTGGCAATAATAATGAGAGCAAGACCAAATCAAGTATGCATATTAACACTACTGTATATAAAAAACATACCTTAAAGTTGTTATCAGGTATAAATTGAACATTATTTCGATTACATTTTCATTGATGGTGGGAAATTCGGCAATTTAAGGGAATACGTATTCAAATATTACCCACATGTCACAGTAAACACTATTCATTAACTCTGTTTCATTCATTCATTCATTAAATTTGAGACAGACGTTTATTGAAAGCGGATGATTGGTATTAAACACTGGTTTACCTATCTAGATTAACACTCGTAAGTTAATCTAGATAGCGTATATAGCGTTCTATTAAGCTAGATTACCACTACGTATAACACATGGAAACACTGGTATTATATCTAATAATATAAGGTTATGACGATGATACATCAAAGTATGCACGAAGACAGTACAGCGGCAGTATCAACCGACCCGCAGCGGAGGTCGAAGCGACAGCGTACTATCTGAGTGCATACTTTGAGGTATCTTCGTAATAACCTTATTATTATACATCTTTTCCTACCAAGGATACATCATGGGAATGCCGAAATCAGCAAACTTCTTTGTATGGAGTCCGGTCAAACCTTTGTGGCAGCCATGTTTGTTTTTATTATTAGAAGACGCTTACGCGCGTAATTATTCCATATTTGGAATTAGCATTTCCTAATACGGTAGGGATGAAAATACCCGGAAAATACCGCAAAATTACGGCACGCTGTAACGTATGGCGTTACGGTGACAGATGTATAATAATACACTGTACTGTTCACAGTAACAAAAACACTATAGAAAGTAAAAACTATTAAAATGAGTCTGGTTTTAATTATTTGCAGTCACGCTTCAACAACTACATGTACTTATAACACGATAGTAGTTGACATTTCTATCTATGACATCAAAAAATCTTTAATCAATAATTATATTTACTAGTCAGGAAGTGATTTTCTGTCAAAACATAAATTAAAAGCTATATCACAACAGCATGTAGGTGAATAGTACATTTAGTTGTACATATTATGTACGGACTCATGAGGCGTACTACAAGTAATGTTATCCTGTCATGAACTCGCTACCTTGATTCTAACTCAGCAAAGTTGTATTGGTATAAAACGACATCAAAATTTGTTTACATTTAACTAGTGAAATGACTTTAAATGCTTCAATTAAACACGTAAGCTTGCAATATCGTGTGTTTCCGAGATGTGAGTGATCCTTTGTTTTATTTACAACGATTGCTTCGGACTATCATGATTGAAACTAATTCTCGATAAACATCAACGACCCGATAATGTGAACAAATCTTGTGCTATTTATCAGTAGTTTCGTTTAATTGTAGTTGTTCATAGTTTTGATCATTGGAAATGAATACATATTCAACATATAACTGCCATAACATGTGTCAAGCAAATAAAACGAAAGTAAAAAAAACAATATGAATAGGAAGGAAGGAAGCACCTTATAAATGCACTCGAATTATTTCGAAATGAGGTTAAATCTAATGTATATACATATATGTGTATGAACATTCGACTGGATAAATGTCACACTACAAAGAACACATAAAATTTGTATCAATTTATGTAATACTAGCATTTGATATCGAATAAGCGAAACAGAACGTAGCCGAATTTGACAAACTTGATATACCTCGATTTGTCACGTTATTAATACCCCCCAAAAACGAACGCTTATTAATTGCGACAGTGGCGCGCGTGGTCCGTTCGATTATGCAAATTTCGAATATGACACTGGTGGCTATCTTTTTCTTTCTAGCGTCTTTAAACAATAATGAACAACAATAATATAGTTAATAACGAAATACCGGAATTTAGATTGTCGTACATCGCAAGCTTCGACATATATGCTCCGATATTATTTGCTTTGTGTTTTCTTTGATAATGTGAAGAGGTCAAAGGTCAATACTCAATAACTCGAGTGTACAATAACAATCATTATTGTTGCGCTCAGTGCCATAGACTACAGATTAAGGCGTATAATAATACAAGTAATTTTTAATGTGGCAAGTCTTTGTAAAAATTTATTGAAGAGAATCTACAAGCAAAATGTATTTTAGCTTCAACAGCTTCTAAAGCAATTTATAAAATATAACCCAAAACTAATATAATAATATTTGTATAAAAATAATTTTTAATTAAAGTTGAGGACGAACGCAGAGTTCAAAAACAATTTTTATTTTTAAATATCTTTTAGACCGACAAAAAATCATGACAGGCATTACATTCTATGCTACAATTAACAATTCATTCCTGAAACTTGTATATTTTCTTTAAAATATATTAGTAGATGATAAAAATACCAAGAACATTGGAAGAAAGAATAGTGTAAATCACAGACAATGTTTTTGATAGTGTTGTAAAAAAGAATCCAGAGTTAAGTCATTGATATGCATATAAGATTTTGCTTTGATCTCGTCCACTGTGTCTTCAGACCCACAGCGGTGATAAAACTAATTAATTATTAGACAGTATAGTATTATTATCATTCTCCAAGTCAAATAGAGATTGACTGATCATCTTCAGAACACACTCCGGGCACAAGTGAAAGGGTTCAGTGCCCTCGGTTAATGCCACAGCACATCGTGATAATCCGCGACGACTCCGTTTTGATTTTAACAAATCCCGATGGCAGACAACAGTGGAAATTCGTTCCAAACTATTGGTGTTATTATGTCGACATTTTCTATATACAATGAGGTTATTACGAGGATACATCAAAGTATGCACGAAGACGGTACAGCTGGAGTAATCTAATGGTCAATTACTTTACATCCACGTGTATTACAAGCCATTTAAGCCGTCTTTCCCGTTGCAATTGATTGTTTTATTTTGAAACTCGTGTGTTGCTTGTTTATAAGGCGGTTTATAAGGAGAGGATAAAGTGTCGACATGCGCGTACTGCATGTCGATACTTTGTAATTAGTATGTTCATATCGCCATTTTAAGGCGATTTACTAAACGTTATGAATTCATTCACTCATTTATTTGCATAGGTCTGGATCAAGTCAAATAATTTATTAAATATGATATTGTGGCTGTTATCATTGTCGTCAGTTCTTGGCTTGCATGTATCAGGGGGAAAATCTTCTCCTCTGAGGTTCTTCACACGTGTCAGGTGTCGCATACGACTTGTTTACCACTTCCGTGTGACTGAGAATGTTCTAAAACCGTACTGTGTCTGGGTGGAATGAACACTGTAGGAGGCAATAGAAGGTAATGGAACATTCTAGAAATTTGTAGTAAGTTCCAGACTCATTATGTATGCTGATGTAATGGTCTATTTATAGACAGTGTGGGTATATATAGGGGGGTTGTTCAGCACTGAGATCAGATCGGAGATCTCGTTGAATTGTATTGGAGTTTAAGTATCTAGTTATTGGAGTAGTGGAGCTTTACCGCGTTATTGTACTTGATGTTTGCAGAGTATAATAATACCAGTACCAGTTGAAACCTCATCTGTTGGCTCCGTGTTCGTATTTTATCATCGCCGCCAGGGAAGTCTTTTTGTTACTGTTGCCATTTTGGTATTTGAACCATCACATCTGTACCATACCAATTACGGTAATATTACGTTGCGTGTGAAATCAGGGGGGAATCTCGTCTCGTCTCTCTATCGCGTCCCCTTGAGGTACGGGATCGGGAAAGTCACTTAAGCTTTTACAGTCAAATAGAGGCACGCAACGAAATACGTTTCAATTCTCGTCTTAGTCGGTCAGTCGAGCACTCTATAAGACACAGCGCCCTGGGGAAAAGTCCCCAAGACTATCGCAAGGCTGACCAAGACTGCCCTTAGACTGCGTCTGTCCTGGTGTACTCACCAAGACCAACTAAAACAACTTTATTCATTTTCAAAACCTTAACCAATTACAAAGCAGTTAAAAGACTCTAGGACGTAACCTTCAATCATACAGCCAATCACACTAAGTACTGGACACGTCATATCTTTTGATTAATCGTTCACGATATAACTAACTGTGAATACCAAATGTCAGAAATAGTAGTCCGAATAGCGACGGTTATATCATAATTAGTTCCAAATCACTGAACCAAGTTCCGTCCAGGACCTCGCATGGGCCTAAACGATGACAGATATAACACAGCCATTCGCTAGTACTAGTAATCAGCTAATAAAGTCGATCAACAGATACGTGCAAACAATTTCATCATACATGCATGACGGTGATATCCCCGGTCATTCAAATCGCAAGTGTGCCATACAATTTCTTGTAAAAAATATAATTTATATTAATTCATACGTATATGCGGCACGGCAATTTGTGGCGTTTATGGCTGTTCGTTAAATTATGATGATAACTTTTGGTTATGATTTATCAAACTTTTAATTCAAATGACATACTACTAGTACGTATTTTGAATTCAAAAGTTAAAGTGCATACTTTTAACTTTTAAATCAAAGGTCATAATCACTGGTACGCACTTTTAAATCAAAGATAATATCACTGGTACTCATTTTTAAATCAAAAGTGCTGTTAACGGCATTTACTTTTTAATCAAAAGTCATATCACTGGCACAAACTTTTAAGTCAAAGGTCATATTACTGCTACGCACTTTTAAATCAAAGGTCATATCACTGGTACATACTTTTAAATCAAAGGTCATACTGTCATGAATTTGTTTACGCGTATCTGTTGACCGACTTAATTAGTTGATTATTAGCGAATTGCTGTGTTATGTTTGTCATCGTTTAGGCCTATTTGAAGTTTTGGACGGAACT